CGACTACATTACTTATATACGCACTGGATAGGCGTTAGAAAGAGCTCTTTTTATTTGCTGGTAGTTTCAAAGACCTAATCATTACGAATTTAGTAATGTATTCAATCTTAATGGCAACTAAAAGTTTGATGAATCCATAATCTCTTAGCAAAATTGAAATATGGGACTGCCCTGGTCTTCCTTAAAATTCACTTATCTTATGTGATTCAAGGTAATCCGTGCAGCGTGGTTGTGTGGCTAACGCGTTGACATTATACGCTGCATTACCCGGATTCGATTCTCGCATGAGGTGCTGATGAGACCAGTTCAGGCCAAATTGAAACTGCAGTCCACCCCGGAGGAGAATACCTTTTGGGAAGCAAGGCTATGTGTAATGCGCCTGAAGCATGCGGCCTATTCAGATGATTTTAGGAAAATTTAATGATCGGTTTTTCATCACCTTGTGCGACACAGGGTGAATACGGCTATTATATTACTACGTTGAGTTTAATGAAACTAAGATGGATGTAAATATCTAAGCTAACATAAGCTATTCAGGAGTGGAAAAGGGGAGCCGTCCATCTTAACATCAGCAGTGCCGAGTAAAGCCGGGCATAGCCTCAGAGGATGGAAGAGAATATGTTGGGGATAAGTGGAGGATAACTGGGTTGTGAATCTAAAGCCTAGGGAGAAGAAGATGCTTAAGCATGGGAATATGACGTAAACGGGGACCGGAGTTTAGTGCTCATAGGCAGCCAGATTTCAGACAACCAGGCAGTGATTTTCTCGTGCAGCGGGGAACAATTGAAAAGCAGAGTGAAGAGGAGGGGCTAATGACAGTCAGAAGACATGACCCAGAGTCTCTAAAAAAAGGCATCTTAAACTGATGATGAAGGTGATTACACTTTACTAAATTCACTCGAAGCGACACATTCTTATGCGAAATTGGAGAAAACTATACCAGAATGGTGTGAATAGGTGAATGGAACACTTGGATAAGTTATAAAACAGTGCTAATGGTGGCGCCTCTCACTGACGATGCAGACTATGATGCCAACGAAGCGCCTGGGTATTTACCACACCAACGGTCATATGCTGGAAATCATGAATACTATGCACGTTCCACAAGGACGTATGTATGTTGCCATAACTAAGTTGAGAAAACAAGGTCAAGTAACTTCCATCCAAAGTTGGGTTGAAAGAGGTGCAGTACTAGAACCTAGGACAAAAAATAGGGGCGGGGCGTTAAGCAGAAACGGTTGAACAGAAAATTGGTTAAATGTATTGCTTTTACTTATCACTTTGATGGGTTATAACTCTGTACTAGGGATGGCGCCTGTCACTGAAGATGCCGGCAAGGTCAAATCAAGACTGTACAGCCAAAGGAGACTGCTATCAAATAAAAGGCCATACGATATTGGTTTTTATGTCTACACTTTATTATTACAGAGTTGAATTATAAGTCTCATTTGTCTTTAAAGTCAGGCTCTTCAAGTCTAGAATTAGCGGACTTTGAGTCCAACTTGTTTATCTTGATTGAAGTCGGAGTAAAGTTTCAACTGCAGACAGGCTTAAGTGCAAACTGAGAAATTAAAAATTCAATATATATTGTTGTCAGAATCTCGACAATAGAAGTTGTTTGACCTTGGGTTTCGCAACTTGGTCATATTAGCAGGAAGACCTAGAGGAACAAGGTCAAACCACTTTTATACAGCGAAAGGAGACCGCGACCATACAAAGGACCACACCACCCTGGTCTTCATACTTTCGAGAATATCTACAAGTCCCACATTAGCATGAGTAACTGGGGGATATTGAATATTATCAGGATCGTAATAACATCGACCATCTTATTAAGAGTATATCTCTGGAACAAAGTGTCTTTCTCCTTCTTACTGATTCCTGATCTTATCGCTTTTTTTATAAGGCTACTTTGCAGACTCACGCCTCCGCTTTGCCTCAATTTTCTTGGTCTAGCACATCTTGATAGTCATTTGCCAACTATGACTGTCGCAAATGTCTTTCCAGTCACTAGTCCAAACACAGTAGTTCCTTCTGACGGCAACGTCGCCAACAGCATTCTCAGCCGAGCAGAAAATTTCGCTGATTCTTCCTCTTCGACCATCCCGACAAGCCAAGACGGAGCCGAATACCTTATGACTTCTTTGAAACCGGCTTCTGCTCTCAGGGCCGAAGAATTCGTGGAAACAGCATATACTCGCTTTATGGGCCACTTGTATGTGGTTCCATTTATTGCACGTGGTTTCAATATATATTTCCCTTGCTTAGTGTTAATACTTTGTATGATTACATACTTTCGCCTCGGCAACCGCTTGCTCCACTGGCTCGGCGTGCCCCAACTCATTGACCCAACCTTCTCACAAGAAAAGCCTGGACATCCATGGTCACAGAGCAGTCAAGGCGAGAGGCAGAACTTTGGGCAGAGTCAGATGGAAAGTATGGACGAGACTCTAGAGGCTGTGGAATATGGTCGGCTTCTGCTAAAGCGAGGTAAATTCTAGAAAGCCCTAGAAAGATTTTTCTTGAAGTTGAAACATGGAAAATATTATATGAGATGTTATCATCTTATATCGTTCAGGGTGACGAATGACTAGTGGTTCAATTTTTCCATAACCACATAAGTAGGTCTCAAGTTTCAATCGGATTTCACATAGCCTTGCTTCCCAAAAGGTATTTCATCTGTGCAGAAATGGGCTACAGTTTCGACCTCATCTAGGTCTCATGAGCGCAACCAGCTGGACTCGAATCAGGATGGTGCAAAGTATAGTCTCTGCATGTCAACCACTACACCACATTGCCACGTGTACCCTTGGATCATATGGCAAGCGTAAATTTTAAGGAAGGCTTAGCCTTTGCAACACCTCCCATATATATGATATACTGGTGGTCTTGAGTCATACTTATAGGCAAAAATAAGTGATGTAATCGATTGTTATAGCAAAATATAACCTTGCTTTATCAATACTACCAACACCAAAAGTGATATACAAATGGTGTGGACTTCCTTTAAGTTCACATCTGCCCTGTGACCTAAAGGCATTTGTACCAACGCAGCAGTACCTGGGTTCGAGTCTCGCTAGGAGTGCTGAGGAGATCGAAGCTGCAGTTCACTCCTGCCCGGTTGAGATGACCTTTTGGGGTGCAAGGCTATGTGAAATTTAATGTAAACATAAGGTCTACACATATCATTGTCAGAAAATTCAATTGTTTTCATCACTTTAAACGAAGTAGGGTGAATGCATTTCATAAATATGATCTACTGTAGGCATTGAAACCTGCCTATGAACAATATTATACCATGC